CGGTCGCACGCAGACTCTGAAACTCTATTCGTAGTTCTCTAATCTAGACCCTCCTCGTACCCAGTTCCTTTAAAGAGAGTAGCTGTTTCAGCGGGAAGATTCCGGGGCTGGGACGGGAGGCTTCCCTGGTTACTTCCCATTTGTATCATAGTGCCAAACGGCCTGATTTTTACTGTTGTTATTATTGAATCACTTCCTGTCTGTGCTGGGGGCAGGGCCGATCGAATCAAGGAAAGGGCCACTGCACGCCTGAGGGGCAGCTCCGTGCTGGCGTGTGTGACTCGTGTCATTACAGCACCCTCGGCGGCTCCAGTCCGTGCCATATTCCGTCTGTATTTGAAATGAGCTCAGATTGACTGATTGTACTTGATTTCTGTGAAGGATGCATCTCTGTGTTTATGTTTTTGAGGCTTGAAAACTGGTCGAAAGCACACACACACACACATGCCCACGGTGACTTTCTCAGGCAGCAACGTCCTCGCTCATTCCGGACACACAGCACAGGAGGACACACGTTTACATAAACGCCTGGTTTAACAGTTAGAGGCTCCATGGTTGGGCTCACACACCTGATTAATGATGATCAGCTATAGAATATAATATTTATATATAAGCAATAATATGGGTTTGTAACATTAGTTAAAAGGGGAAAACTTTGTTCTGTATATTTTGTTACCTTTTAGAGAATAATAAAGAACATGAAAGTCAAAAAAAAAAAAAGAGAGAGATACATCAGCCCAAAGCAACTTGTGGTCCCTGTTGGGATCCTGATTGAAATAAAGTGACTGTAAGAACAAAACAGAAAAAATGAGACAGTCAGGGATCTATCTGAACACTAAGACAATCTTTCATATTAAGGAATTATTGTGTTTTTTAGGTGTGGTCAGAATATGATAATTATACGCATACAAACAAAGAGTCCTTATGTTTTCGAGATGCATACACTGCTATTACTGATTGAGTGATGGGATGATCTGCTTTAAAACAGCGATTCTCAACCTGTGGGTCGCGACCCCTTTGGGGGTCGAACGACCCTTTCACAGGGGTCGCCTAAGACCATCGGAAAACACATATATAATGACATTTTGTTTTTGTGATTAATCACTATGCTTTCATTATGTTCAATTTGTAACAATGAAAATACATCCTGCATATCAGATATTTACATGACGATTCGTCACCGTAGCAAAATTACAGTTATGAAGTAGCAACGAAAATAATTTTATGGTTGGGGGTCACCACAACACGAGGAACTGTATGAAAGGGTCGCGGCATTAGGAAGGTTGAGAACCGCTGCTTTAAAACAATATGGAAGGGGGGAGGGGCAGACATGAACGGAAAGCAGAGAATGAATGAAAGGCCATGGGCTGCATGTAGATACTTGTTGAACCCAGTAATGGGTAGACGAGGACTCTTGTGACAGTCTCTCTACTTTGTGCTTGAAAAGCCCATAATAAGGAATTTAAAAAGAGAAGGAGGGAGGGTGGGGAAAGAAAGCGTCCTCCTCTTTAGTGACTGGGGTCCACTCCGGTGCCCGAGCCCACCCCTGCCGGCCCAGGGGGAGCTGGGAAGGGAATCAGGCCATGCCTTCCTGGGCATGTGTCATGTGATCTGCCAGCGATTTAAGCTGCTTTCGATTTGCATTTTCCAAACCAAATTTCCTTGTTGAACTTCTGGTGTGGGTCCCAGGCCCCCCGTAGGCCTCGAAGGCCAAGGGCTGCTTCCCGGGCCCTCGGTCAGCCCTCCTCTCCGGTCTATGTCGGCTTGGTTCCTAGGACTGTGTGTCTGGCCGCTGCTACCTGGCTTCCAGGTGTGAGGACCCCTCCCAGGGGTAACGTCCCGGGTCCCCTCCTTCTAGGACCCGCCCGTCTGACAAGAAGCCCCGGAGCCAACGACGCCATGGGGCACCGTTTCTTCTCTCTCTCTCTCTCTCTCTCTCTCTCTCTCTCTCTCTCTCTCTCGTCTTCTCCAAGGTTGGAACCAGGCGCTGGCTCCTCCCCCTCCCTCCACTGCTGACCAGCATGTCCCCCGGAATCTTTCCTTCACGCTGACGGAGGAGGAGGCATTTGTGAGCAGCAGGGACAGGCTGGGGCGGGAGCCGGTGCTGGCGGCGAGGACGCACACCCAGCAAATGCCAGGGGTGAGCTGCCCGCCGGGCAGGGCCAGCAATGTCGCCAAATGCTCTTCCCGGAACGGAGCACGCGCTGATCTTGTGACTGACCTGTACCCAGGGCTGTGCCTCATCGCTCTGCTATGAAACAGGAGACGCGGAGTCGCTCTGACGGGTCCCAGCGTGAGCCGCGACCAGCGGCCGAAGAAGCTCAGTCCAGGCCCGGGCTCTGCGGGACCGCCCGCCAGCAGACACAGAACCTGGTTTGGTTTGGTTTTGTTTTGTTTTAGTTTTAATCCTCACCCGAGGATGTGTCTTTATTGATTTCAGAGAGAGGAAAAGAGAGCGAGAGAAACATCCGTCGGTTGCCTCCCAGACGTGCCCCAGCCGGGGATCGAACCCACAACCTAGGGAGGCGCCCTGACAGGAAATCAAACCCTGTCAAGGGACGAAGCGCAACCAACTGAGCCGCCCGACCAGGGCAATACAGACCCATGTTTCTTAATCTCACAGAGTCACCCACAAAATCACGTCCCCTCGAAATGAAAACGGGGCCCCCGTAGACACGACCACACCAGCTTCCCCCCACTGTCCCCTCTGGTCCTTTCCCACGGAGCGAGCACAGCCCGAGAGGGATCGCGGGGTTTGGTGAGCCTCCCAGGCAGCTCCCCCCAAGGCGGCCGGCTCTGGGGGACCCGGACCTTCCACGCGTGTCCCAGACCCCTGACCACCCCAGGTCCCGCCATCCCCGCGCCGTATTCGGACGTGTGGCCGGGTCTGATCTCTCTCTGACTCTGGCACCGCCCCCCTGACTGCGGCTGGAGCAGGTTCCCCTCTTTAGGTGACACACCCGGGGGCTCCCTCCTCACAGCGGCTCCCCCCCGGCCGCCGGCAAACAGCCCCCCCCCCCCCCACATCTGGGACACCCTGGCAGGTGGCAGCTCTCCTCCGTGGCTCCGCCGTCCACGGCGCTGCCCACGACTGAAACACGCACCCGCGTGGGCAGCAGGTAGGATGATGAGAACACCTTCTCCGCTGAGGGAGGCCCGGGCAAGGGCCCCGGACTGTCCAGGGGCTCAGAGGCTCGCCCCCTGGCTGGTCTGTAGGGCAGCTCCCTGCTGCTCTCACCAAAGACTGGGAACCCAAGGGCAGCTGCGGTTCCCAGCGCTTCAGGCTGGGCCGGGCCTCCTGCGGTGAGATGGACACCCCCCCCCCCGCCCCCCTGGGCTCCTTGCAGATCAGAGCCTCGGACCAGGGTCGCATCAGGGTGAGCTGGTTTCCTGTGCTTGTCCTGGT